TCAGCATGTCACCTTCAGGATCACCTTCAGGACTTCACAGTCCGGGGCTCAGGCTCAGCACTTTGGCCGCCCGTCCTCTTGTGCCCCAACACCTCCCCATCTCTAGGAACATCTAATTGTTCCTAACCTTTCCTGGGCCCAGAATACAATTCTACAGATAATGAACAAATAGTAATAAAGACAAAATAGAACAGAATTATAGATGAACCCAATGTCCCCAAACTGCAGGCAGAGAGGCCAGCTATTCTCTTCACGGCTGACTTCGCATGCGGTGTGTGCCAAGGACCTCCAGGAGGCTTAACCCCGTGGGGACGATACCTCGGGTCTGGTTTCTGCCAGGTGACCGGCATTGTCACGCAGACTCTACTGGAGTGGTCGTGGCACTGAGCCGATAGGAAACAGGCGGAGGAGGCAGAGGATAAGGAGCTGCTGGAGGAAGAAGCCAGAAAGAGTGAGGAGTGATCCATCACAGCCTTGAGTGCAAACAGGAGACACACAATCTATAAGAAAGTAGACGGGGAAACTATAAAAGCTCAGCCGCCCAGGGCCTTAGAGTGTCGTGACAAATTGTCCTGCCTGTTTGTGGAGTGAGGCTGTCATGCAGCCCAGGACAGCAACTGATGTTCTTAATCATACAGTGGAGCCTCTAAATACCAGCACATTTGGAGTCAGTCGTTAGGATCACAGCCACAACAGTCAGGATGGGAGGAAAGGGGCTGTTTTTAAACATGCCTGAAGGGGGCGTGGCATGCACAGCCCATATCTCACCCCTGTGCTTATGTGGGCAAGGGGCGGGGTCTAGATTACCTACCAGCTCTTTAAAAGTGGCTTGCTTCCCTTTTGGGGACAATAGTGTTCAGATCTCATTTTAAAGGAACTATGCTCCCTTTTTTCAGCCTATGGCTTGGATGAAATCCACAGCCCTCCCTCTCCATGGGCAGACTTTATGGCTTGTGACTATCTAAACATGCCATTTCCCCCTCTGACCTGGCTTCAGAGAGGAGAACTTAACTAAACTAGCATTGCAGTAGTGCAAAGGGTATTTACTGGGGGCTTCTGGAGAAAAAGAAACTGCCTTCCTTTCTCCCTACCCCCAGTAGCGTCTCCTGAGGGTGGGGTCTGGATCTGCTACTGTCTTTCTGCTGTGGTAAAGGGAACTTCCAAATGATAGAAGGAGCCCTCTCTGTGGAGAGTGAAGGCAGAGCCAAAACAACAAAAGGCAGAGAGGACAAATAGGGAGACTTTTTTTTTTTTCTTTTTTTTTTGTACCAGGGATCGAACTCGGTTCCTTGTACTTGCAAGGTAGTCGGCAGAACCACAGAGCTAAATCCCTGGCCCTGGATTCCTTTATCTGATTGAGCCAATTTGAACTGATTTTTTTTTTTTTCCTGGTACTGGGGATTGAACTCAGGACCTTGCGCTTGCAAGGCAGGTGGTGGAATCACTGAGCTAAATCCCAAGCCCCAAACTGGTATTTTTATCTGAGATATCAAGGGTGACTAATGCAGAGGTGACACAGGAATACAATCTTGAAAGAGTAGACTTTTGACTGGAAAAATTACAAATTAGAGTGTTCCAACAATAATAATTATAATAATATTTCTAACAATATGAACGACAGCAAAATTGTATTAAGCATTTAAAATGTTCCAGAAACATTGTCTAGTGTTTCATTCAATCCTCAGGAACACTGTGTGAGGTTGGTGCTATGATCACTTTGTTTTAGGAGGAAGCTGACGTGCAGAGAGATTAAGTGACTTTCATAAGGTGGCCCAGCAGGGCAGTGTGCTAAACAAACATCTGTATGAGGCCCAGGGAAATCTTCTTATGCTACCTGCGTGATTTCTTCAAGCCACCAGAGAGACAAATGAAGAATGCAGGGGCAGGGGGATCAGAGTGGACCTGACATAGGGCATATGATGATATAGGACCTCCAAATAATGTAGGGGAAATATTATAATTCCCAACCTGCTAGATATCTGAAATGCCGAGTTCGTGTTCTCTAAAACCCAAGAATGTGGGCTGGGGATTTATTTAGCTCAGTGGTTCTGCCGCCTGCTTTGTAAGCAAAAGATCCCGAGTTTGATCCCTGGTACAAAAAAAAAAGCAACAGCAACAACAAAAAAACACAACCAAATGAACAAAAAAAAAACCTAAGAATGAATTCTAGGAACAACAGTGGTTAAGAGGGCAACTTTGTTCAGAGAAAGATAGCTTCTGTCTAAGAAAGACAGAAGGAGGACCAGAGAGTGAGTTGCCTGCCCACCTCACTTCTCAAGGTGAGGTGGGTTCAAGGTGGGACAAAACGACAGTCAACTAATAAGATTACAAGTACAGTCCCTGGGGTAATACTGACCCAACGGGAAATCATGAGGTGGGACAAAACTGTAATCAACCAATAAGATTACAAGTATAGGTGTTTAGTATATTGATTAAATGGGGACCAAATGGGAAAGCAGGTTGTGCAGCAAGGGTAAGGGACTAAACAAAGATTGCCCAGAAGGATTGGGCTGGGGAGGTTTTTGTCCCCACCCAAGGTGACTGATACCTACTTAGAACATCAATCACTGCTGTTCATCCCCAGGGGAAATATGTGGATGTAGTAGTAGCTCTTTGTTTTTTGAATCCTGACCTTTAGCGAATGGGCCTCAGGTCACGAATGGGCCTCAGGTCACGACCATCTTCTGTGCTGAGGGTCCAGTCTTGCCTAACTGCCTTGCAACATTTTCTAATTTCATTTAGCTGTCTACAACTGAACCACAGCCTTGAATAGTGATGGCGGTAGGATGGGGCAGGGGTGAGGCGGCACTTGGTTGAGTCTCAGTGGTGACCTGGTTTAGCTTCAGCTACCGATAGCATGCGACACCACAGTGCAGCTCTGAAACTGCTCAGGTTCTGCCAGTGGAGCTGTGCCCAACTGCGGCTGAGGTTCATCATTGGGTCCTCTTCCAACATATACAATCCACTTATTTATTCATACAACAGCCACTTGAATGTCTGTGCCCCAAACATCCTCCCTGGTGAAAAAGACTGTCAAGGTAACTGCCCCACAGACCTAGCAGTTACGTCGGGAATGACAACATTAAATAAGTAATTCCACCTGTCAACATATAATTAGGAGTTTTGCGAGGTACAATGAAGGGCAAGAACAGAGAGCGATGGTAGAGAATGAGGGAGAGCTGATTTAGGCTGGGAGACAGTGTGCCAATGTGTAGGGTAAAGCTTCTCCGTGGAAGTGTCGCTGAAGGGAGAGCCTTGGTATTTACAGGGCTGTTAGCTGAGCAGGGGAAGATGCACCGCAAGCAGAAGGAACGGCATATGCAAAGAGGGTCCTGGATTCGCATTTGCATGTTTAATGAACTGAAAGGCCAGTGTGGCCACAGTTAGTGGGTGAGAGGTAGGTGGTGGCTGGGCCACACAAGTACTTTTGCTCAGCATTGGAACTTTTTTGGGGGGTGGGGGAGGATACCGGGGATCGCACTCAGGACCTTGCGCGCTTTCGTGGCAGGTGGCAGAACCACTAAGCTAAATCCCCGGCCCACCCCTGGGACTTTTGATTCACAGTCATTCATTTCCATGATGCACATTTCCCGAGATCCTCCCCCAGGCCAAGCCCTATGTGAGGAATCGGGACACAGTGATTAATAATAATGGCTTATGTTCTTGAGTAAATTACCGTTTGCCATCAACTCATCCAAGCCTCCCATCGACCCTAGTTATTACCACTGTTCCCATTTGACAAGCAGGGAAACTGAGGCACACAGAAAGAAAGTCATTGCAAGATTATACAACTGGCAAGTGGTAGAACCAGGATGAACTCAGCAGTCTGACCAGAGCCCATTCACATTTACGTTGTTAACTAGTATTTTTCATGCTCCACTCTAGTCGGTCCTGGCTGTGTCAGACATCCAAACGATACTTTAGCTGTAGGTGGCTCCTTGAGAAGAGACTTTCCCAAACTTGGCAGATCATAAGAAGTCCTCTGGGGTATTTGCTAAAAAGGGACCCCTTGCTTAAGAAATCTGGATTCAACAGGTCCACCCTGGAATTTGATTTTTTTTTTTTTTGGTTTTTTTTTTTTTGTTTTTTTGAGACAGGCTCTCACTGTGGAGTAACGTGGTC